ATATTTCTAATAACCTTAAGGTTAAACCATAAGGGGAAGTTCAGAGTTTGTATGTTATTAATCTTAGATAGATTATTCTTCAAATTCTTTTGATATAAACATATCAAATTTAATATTTTATATCTTTACAAACTTAAACACGAAAAATTATAACTAATATTAAATTAAAATGTAAATCCAAATACTAAATATATAAAAGGTCAATAAAAATTGTGAAGCTTATCCTATCATAACATTTTAGATTGTTTAAGATGAATAAAGTTGTTTACTTTTCTTGTAATTTTAATACATATATATTTCCTACATTTCGATTAGCCTCTTCAATGTTCTGGCTAAAACATGGTTAACGATTTTGTATTATTTAATACAATGAATAGGTAGAACAGAAATGATAATAATATTGTAAAAAGAATAGCAATGATAAACATATTATATTTAATTTTTTAATGTTTTATTTATAAAATCAATTTCAATATCAATTATATTTTTTATCTAATTAACTTTCCAAAAAGTAACTTCCTTTAGATTTTAGTAATAATCTAAAGTCTACTCCTTAATAATTGACAAATTCTCCTTTAAGGACTAAAGCTCCTTATGCTTAAAATATTGGTGTTTTTGAAATACGGAGAACAGTAATATTCATATTGACTAAAATTATTTTAAAAAATAAATACCTGGAAGAGAGTTGTTTTACAATAGGGGGGTTTTAAATTATGCTAAAATATCTTAATAACGATCATCCGTAAGCTATATTTCTTATCCAGTCTTGACATCCCATAATCGGATAGAGTTATCATTACTACCAAATGCTAATGTATTTCCATCAGGAGAGTAACAGACTTTATAACATTAACCATCCAATATGGCTTTTTATTATCCTGTTTTTATATCCCATAAACAGATGGATTTATCATAACCACCAGATGCTAATATACTTCCATCAGAAGAGAAACAAACTGAGTTGACATAATCACTATGACCATCCAAAATGGCTTTTTATTATCCTGTATTTATATCCCATAAACGGATAGATTTATCCCAACTACCAGATGCTAATGTAGTTCCATCAGGAGAGATACAGACTGAGTAGACATAACTAGTATGACCATCCAATTTTGCTTTTTATTATTCTGTTTTAATATCCCATAAACGGATGGAGTTATCATCACTACCAGATGTTAATTTATTACCATCAGGAGAAAAACAGACTGATTAGACAATGCTCGTATGACCATCTAATTTTACTTTTTATTATCCTGTTTTTATATCCCATAAACGGAT